CTCCAGAAGTTCCTCTATTGTACAGGGTTGTTTTGGCTATCCTTTTGTTTTGTCTTTTGTTTCTCCATTTAAAGTTGAGAATTGTTCTTTCAAGGTCAGTGAAGAATTGTATTGGGATTTTAATGGGGATTGCATTGAATCTGTAGATTGTTTTATGGCAAGATTGCCATTTTACTATGTTGATCCTACCTATACAAGAGCATGGGAGATCTTTCCATTTTCTGGTATCTTCTTTAATTTCTTTCTTTAGAGACTCAAAATTCTTATGTTACAGGTCTTTCACTTTTTTGGTTAGTGTTACTCCAAGGTATTTTATGTTGTTTGTGGCAATTGTAAAGGGTGATGCTTCTCTGATTTCTTTCTCCACTAATATGTCATCCATATATAGTAGGGCTACAGATTTTTTTGAGTTAATCTTGTATCCTGCCACTTTGCTGAAGGTGTTTATCAGCTGTAGGAGTTCCCTGGTTGAGTTTTTCGAGAGTTTTCTTTCAAAACACAGATCTAACAGGTGCCTACAGAGGAGAGAGTAAATGACACTCCTAGGCCTAGCCACAAACTCCCGCTTCCACCGTAGATCTAGAGAGCATGTCATACCATCTGTCTCCATGAACCCTGAAATACCATGCACTCACCTGGCACACAGTTCTTCAGGCTGGGTGGGACAGCTCTCAGGCAGAGTTGCACAGACACACCCTAGAAACAGTTTTTTTTTTTTTTTTTCCCTTCCCCAGTCTATCCCCTAACAGAGAGCCCAGCAGCTGTCACCATTAATCCTTAGTGCCAACAGGAACCATTCTTCCTTGTCTAAATCCAACCTAAATTCCATGACTTTTCTCTAGAAGCACATTTGGACCCTCCGTCTCTAACCTCAGCTTTGCTCAAGGATTGGAGAAGGTGTAAAAAGAGTTTGGCAGATGTCTCCATCTTGGTTTGTCTGCCAAAGAGAGGATGTTTGAATCTAACACCCCTAACACTATCTGCTTCCTGGGTCAATGTGGGGTGAACAAGTTACTCCAGGGACTGACACCCGACAGCCAAGCTTGGCCCAGAAAGTTTCGCATGGAGTACTTCTTTCACATGTGTTACACACAAACTTTAGAAATCACCTGATCTGGGCAGAGAAGTTCATGCCTGTAATCCAAGCATTAAGTAGCTAGAGTAGAAAGATATCTAGTTGAAGGCCAGCCTTGGCTACCTGTCAAGACTGACGCTGTCTCAAAAAACTAAACAAAACAAGCTGGGCATTTAAAACTTGTTTAATTCCCCAGCACTTAGGAGGCAAAGACAGGTGGATCTCTGAGACTGAGGCCACCCTGCTCTATACAGTGAGTTCCAGAACAGCCAGGGCTATATAGAGAGACCCTGTCTCTAAATAAATGAAATAAATAAACAAATACCAACCCAGAATCCCCCCCAGTAATAGCAGAACCTTAGAATAATTAGTTTCAAAATGGGTCCCTGGGGACAACACAAGTACCTGCATTGTCATTGCAGCAGTGCCAGATGATAAAGAGGAACAGACTAGGGTGTCAGCAGGTAGCTTTGGTAGGATTTGATACCCCACTGACTGCAGGGTGTCACTGAGAGAACCCTAGGATTGATGGTGTGAGTGACATGGGGTAAGAGACTTGTTCTGGAGAGAGTGACTGTTTCCTCACTAGGCACCTAGTCTCCACCTCAGAAAACCCCAAGGAAAGGAGTGACAGCCTGCAAAGCACTAGTTGAGAGACTCCCTTCTTTAGACTTCCATTGCCAGTGTAAATGAGACTATGAACACTCAGGGAATTTGATCTTCTGTGACCTAGGACTGCAGTACTCCCCGACACAGAAAGAAACCAAATGCATTAAATCCAAGGCCTCTGACTTTCTACCCCACTAGGATGGAAGAAATCTCAATCCTTGTGAAATCATGAGAAAATTGAAAAGGTCTAGAAAGCCTTCCCATCACTGCCATTCACTGTTTTCTAAACTCACAAGGTCATCTGGAGACAGCATAAAGGCTTCTGTGTAAGAGGAAGTCTAAAGTTGTGGCCCGCGGTTCATTCAGGCGATGCTTCATCTCTCCTTTCACACAGGTGACATTTCTTTTGACAACAAATAAAGAACAACAAAACACAGAAAGCAACTCTACATCAATATTGAAAAGAAACTGAATGAAGCCACATGTACAACACATTTTACTGTATGTCTTGTAAAACCAAAACTAATGCCATTCATTTTAGGCTATCTATATACTGAATGGTATATTTCCTCTCTTCTCTCTCTCTCTCTCTCTCTCTCTCTCTCTCTCTCTCTCTAGTTTTTCAAGACACGGTTTCTCTGTGGTGTTGGAGGCTGTCCTGGAATAGAAATAATATTTCATATGCAACCAGTGCAAAATACTATTAGCAAGATACTCTGCACTTTTTACATAGTAGTCTACTTTTAAAAGATTTTTATGTGTATGAGTGTTTTGCCTATGTACATGGGTGCACTACATTCATAAAATCCCATGGAGCCAGAAGAGGGTATCAGATCTCCTACAACTGGAGTTACAAGGAGCTGTGAGCTGCCATGTGGGTGCTGGGAACTGAACTCCAATCCTCTGTGAGAACAGCAAATGCTCTTAACCACTGAGCCATCCGTACAGGTCCTCAGTATCTATATTTTACTTGTACCACATCTCAGTTCAGAGCCAAATGTCAGGTGCTCAGGAAGCACACTCAGCAGGTGGTGGCACCAGTGTGTCAGGGAAAGTGGGTGAGTAGAGGTGATGCTGTGGACTCAGGCCTGACAAAATGTGTATTGTGAGGTAATGTGTCCTGGAGACCCAAACAGTAAATATAACAGCACGTGTGCACAGTGCTTACATGGAAAAGGAACTAGTTCAGAAAGTAGCTAATAAGTTACCTCACTGAAGCAGCAACCGAGGTCTACAATGCTGTTTTCCAGTTTATAGGTGAGGTATGATTCCCAGCCCTCCCACATCTAGCCCAACGTTCTCAGAGCTTTTAAGTTATGACACATAGGGTTCCTCAGGGAGACTTGGCTTCTGAGTAGTATTGCATTCTCATCTACAGGACAAAAATAAAGATAATTCTATACTCATACACCAAGATGCTCGTAACATGTCAATGAGATAGAAAACCATACAAAGTTAGCATGCCCATAGGGGATGATGCACAGGAAGGGCCAAACACACTTGTCTAGGGAGGGTGCTGGTGCTCCACAGAGGCATCCTGCAGCCCCCGGGGAGCTGGTAGAGTGTGACGTCAGAGACAGAGAGCGAGCGAGTGAGCGAGAGCGAGAGAGAGAGAGAGAGAGAGAGAGAGAGAGAGAGAGAGAGAGAGAGCAGTGAGCAGGGCTCTAGTCTGATCTCTATGGACACTCAGCTGTGCGCTTCTAAGAAGTAAGAAAGCATCGCTTTTCTTTCCAGAATCTGTTGGAGATCATTTCATACTAGCAGTTTAGCTGGACTTGACATATTTGCAGGACAAAATCCATTACACTGTCATCCCTCGGCCCTGACTAGAACAGTTATATTAATGCCACACACAGGAAAGTCTTGTGGCGAGTTCTGTGGTTATAAATCAGACATTTTGTGTTTTTTGGCAAATCACTTAACTTCTCTGGGTTGTCCTAGGTATAAAATAAAATGTATGAATGGAATAATCACTTAGATTTATTCTAGTGAGAGAACTATACATGTGCTTAATGCATTTTAGACACAAAAATGGAAGAATGAGCTGCCCTTAAGACATATTTACATGGGTTCAGGTCTGGTCCATAATCACCACAACACCTTCTGAATCACTCCTGGTTTGAGAGCATCCTCAGACAGCACGGTGCTGTTGGGCTCATGATTCCAGGTGGCTCTAGAGCTGTTCTTCACAGTCCCAGGGGAGCACACCTGCAGGGCCTCATCGGGACATGTTTTCTCTTCATTCTGTGGTCATGAACTTCCACTGAAAACGACCAATGTTTTTATATGGATATTACTGACTTCAGTACCTTTATTATAATGAACATTTTATGTTTTTGTAGATTAAAATGGAAGTAAATAAAAATTCCCATAGATTTTTGAGGTGCTCAGATCGTCACTAAAAAAGAAATTTCCACATTTCTTTTCGAGATCGACTTTCATTTTGCCTGTTTTCTAGGCAAAATTCTTACACTTTCTACCATTAAAAACCAGAATAGAAGAAAAAAGAAAACCTAGACTAGTTTAGTGCTAGTCTGTTCACTTATCCTATCTTTCGCTCTCCTTGTTAAGTGATGCAGATATACAATGTTTACACTAACATGGGGACTTTTGCTTCTTTTTCTTTTCTTTCTTTTTTTCCTTCTTTCCTTCCTTCCCTCCCTCCCTCTCTCTTTTCCTCTCTTCCTTTTCTTTGGTATGCTGAAGACAGAACTCAGGCCTGGTGTGTACTAGACTAACACTCTACCACTAAGCCGTATTCCCTGTCCACCATTCCCATTTGAATGGCTACAATCTGTAAAGCCTCATGGACGTATGCTGTTGATAATAAGAAACTATCAACAGGACTTCTCTAGAAGGTGAAGTATGGGCATATGGGTATCATCCAAGCGCTCTCTCAGGAGGCTGAGGCAGGGTGCTGGACAGTCAGAGGCCAGACCAGGTTTCATGAGTGAGTCCAAGGTGAATTCCGGAGACAGTGACCCCCCATCCCCCAACCCCCCAACAGAACTCTGAAGTCAGGCAGCAAATGTCATCTGTACAACCTTGGGTAAGATCATACGGAAAAGCCCCAGTTTTCCCATCTGTAAAACAGGGCAAGAATTCACTTTCTCACACGGATGTAGTAAAGACCAGGCACTGTAGCGTGGTTAGAGGCTGTCGTCAGAAGAAAGATAAAAACCACATTACCAGGGTCTGAGATGCCAGAACAACTCAATTAAAAAAGCAAGAGAAGTTGGCCATGTCTGGAGTTTGGATAAATGGGAGGGAGTGAACAGACCAGCAGAGGGGAGTTGGAAGGAGGGTATAAAGGCTGTAGGGTCGGCAGTTTGTTGTAACTATCCAGACGTAAAATGGGGCTCCCCATACCCCTCAACTGAGTTGCTAATACAGGAAACAGAAGTAAAAGGCAGAACCCACAGCTTTGGAAACTGCTTGTTAAAGAGGCTAAGGAGGGGTCAAAAGTGACTGGCATTTAGAAAGCCTGGAAAACAATACAATCAATACAGTGTCCGAACGGGACGCATTGGTGGCAGTCAGGGTTACAAATGGTGGAAGTGTGGTCTGAGCCTTCATTCTCCAGGCAACCTTTTTCTAAATGGCAACAAGACCAGGTCGAATGCTGGGGCCTATAAAGGTGAATAGCGGTCCTCTCTGTCTCTCTAGAGCTGGCAATGGAGGCTAGGGAAACATCAGAAAATTACCAACAACAGATAAGGACTAGGAGAGATGTGCCACATGCTTACAGCAGCATACAAAGAGAAGATCCTGGGGTGCAGAGAGGATTACCTGTTCCCTTTAAAAAGCGCTCAGTGTGGCACTGTTGAGGGACTCTGGTGAACCTCTCCATCTGGTCTGTGACCGTGTATCATTGCTGTATGTGCACTAGAGCCCCCTGTAGGGACCTGGCCTACCACTGCCCTGACTGCAGCTCCAGGTCTGCCTTTTCAGGAAGCCTAGCTCCCTGCCCTGATGAGCAGGAGCCATCTCAGTCCCAGGACATCAGTACCATAGCGCAGTACCAAGTACTCTGTAAATTACATGTTGAATAGTTTAGCAGGTCTGAGCAGATGGCAGGATGGAGAAAAGCACTTGCTACACAGGAATGAGGACCCAGTTTGGATCCCCAGCACCCATGTAAAAGCCAGATGTTGCAGCATGCACCTATAGTCCCACACACAATAATAATGTAACTGGAGGCATTTCTCTATTCAGAAGTCTGTGATTTTCATGGACTCACACAGCCAGCACTTTGGTCTAATTCTCACCACTACCCTATAAAGTTTCCTGATGAGGAACAGAAAGGTTGACTTGTGTGACATCACAGGGCTAATCAGGAGCTGAGCTCTAGGCCCCTGCAGAACAGTTCTAGGCCATCCCTCTGACCTCTCTACAGTTCAAAGGGCCATTGTATGGTGTGGTGATTCTTGGGGGCTTATTAAAGACATGAGTTCAGTTTCCTATTTCTCTAACCATGGCAAAGGTCTGGAGAAAACCTGGACCTTTCTCTCACTGCAGACCTGGCATTCTAAAAGATAAGCCCACCACCAACTGGTAAACTGACTATGGAGCGTTTGTCCCGAGTCTGTATAGGTAAAAACCACATAACTTCCCTTCCAGAGTACTCATTATGGTATTGGACATTTGCCCAAGGCTAATTTTCTCAGAGAACACTTTTAAGTGGTGAGAATATTTTTCGTTGTCTCTTTGTTAAAATTAAGATAGCACTAATGTTTGAGAATCTAAATATCATCCCCCTGCTTTCACTTATCATCCATAACAAGGGCAGTCACAGCACAAAGATATGGTCTAGGGCTGGGGACAAGGCCAGGGATAAAGTGAGCACTTGGCACACATGAGACCCTGGGTCCAATCTCTAGCTAAGAGAGAAGGAAAGAAAAAAGTGGAAGAAGAGAAAAGGGGAGGGAAAGCTAGGCTCCCTATCTGCCGTGGTAAGAAATAAATGGGTTCATCCTTCATCTTGCTTGATCATGGGGAATGCCAAAATCCCAAATGTCAAAGTCCTGGTTAATACTTGTACATTTTCTTCTTTCAATATAGGTTTTCAACACAGGCTACACCCACCAGAAAACCAGGTAAGGCTGCCCACAGACCTTTTCTCTCAGTTCCCCCAGATCCAACCCCCCAGGCTCATATCTAGCACTGAAACAGAACGCCACTTGCAGCCTTCTCTCACCCCTGCCCACATTTCCTGTGGATCCCACAAACCACCCCCTCCTAGACTCCCTTATCCCACTTGTGGCTATGTCCCAGACCCCAACCCAACAGGCACTCCCACTAACCCAAGAGCAGCTCCTCCCAGGGCAACAGGCTGAAGGCAGAAGCAACCCCCATTTCATCCCCAGCTCTGTAGGTAGAAACCTGCTGTAATCTGCATTTCCTCTGACCCCATCCCCAATGGATCAGAAAGACTTTCTCCTCCAACCTTCCTTCCCCTAACTCATCCCACTATCCCAGCCTCCAGCAGGAGCAAGTATTCCCTGTGAACACACCAGCTGAGCAGGCCAGGGAAACAGGTAACATACAGCCATCAAACTCTCCAAAAATCTAGAGAGGAAACAGAAACCAAGGAACAAAAACACCCATCCAACAAATATGAATCCAGAAATCAGCACCCAGATATATAATTATCCCAAACCCAGATGCCTAAACACCAGCATGAAAACATAATCAGTAATAGCCAGGGCAATCAATATGTCTTCACTGGAGCCCAGTTATCTTACCACAGAAGGCCCTGAATATCCCAACATTACTGAAGCACAAGAAAATACCTGGCTACTAACTATATGAAGATGACAGAGGTCCTTAAAGAGGAAATGAATAAATCCCTTAAAGGAACCCAGGGAAGCACAAACAAACAATTGGTGGAATAAATACATCCCCTAAAGATAAAGCCAAGAAAAAACAAACAGTTGAAGGAAACTAATAAAACTGTTCAAGACCCGAAAATGAAACTAGAAGCAATAAAGAAAATACAAACTGAGGGAATTCTGGAAATGAAAAATTTAGGAATTCAAACAGGAACTCAGAGGCAAGCTTCACTAACAGAATACAAGAGATGGAAGAGAGAGTCTCAGGTGTTGAAGATACGATAAAAGAAATGGATACATTGGTCAAAGAAAACATTAAATCTAAAAAACTCCTGACACAAAACATCCAGGAAATCTGGGACACTATGAAAACACCAAACCTAAGAATAAGGAATAGAGGAAGAAGAATCTCAGCTCAAAGGCCCAGAAAATATTTTAAACAAAATCATAGAAGAAAAATTTCCTAACCTAAAAAAGGACATGTCTATAAAGGTACAAGAAGCTTACAGAACACCAAATGGATTGGACCAGAAAACAAAGTCCCCTCTCCATATGATAATCAAAACACTAAACATAGAGAACAATGAGATATTATTAAAAGCTGCAAGGGAAAAAGACCAAGTAAATATAACGGCAGACCTATGAGAGCTACACCTGACTTCTCAATGGAGACTCTGGTGTTGGTGTTTTTTATTCTTCACTCTTTTGGCTTTTTTTTTGTTGTTGTTGTTATTTTTGGGGGCCTGTGACCCAGCTCCCAAATCAATAATACACACGGAGTCTTAGTCTTACTTATGAATGCCAGGCCTTAGCTTGGCTTCTTTCTTGCCAGCTTTTCTTAACTTAAATTATCTCCATCTACCTTTTGCCTTGGGGCTTTTATCTTTATCTATTCCTGTATACCTTTTCTTTCCTTCTTACTCCATGTCTGGCTGTGTAGTTGGGTGGTTGGCCCCTGAAGTCCTCCTCCTTCTCTCGTTCCCCGATCCTTTTTCTCTCTCCCAGATGCCGCCTCCTATTTATCCTCTCTGCCCACCGGTCCCACCTGTTTCTCTCTCCTGCCTCACTAATGACCGATCAGCTCTTTATTAGACCATCAGGTATTTTAGACAGGCACAATAACACAGCTTCACAGAGTTAAACAACATAAACAAAAGTCACACACCTTAAAATAATATTCCCCAACAAGACTCTAGAAGCCAGAAAGGCCTATACAGCTGTGCTGCAGATTCTTAAGAGATCACAGAGACCCACATCCGACAGAGGACTGATTGTTGCAGTAGGCTCTTTCCCACCGGCCTGATCACGCAGTCACCCTCACTCCCAAAGGAACACACAGAAACTTAGAGTAATTATAAAACTATTGGCTGATTACCAGGGCTTCTAGTTGGCTAGCTCTGTCTTAATTATTAACACAATTCTATCAATCTATGTATTGCCACAAGGCTGTGGCTTACCCAGTAATGCCTCAGCATGTTACTCCTTCAGCAGTATCGAGACTGTCTGCCTACCTTTCCCAGAATTCTCCTAGTCCTGCCTGTCTTCCTGCCTTATTGGCCAACAGTATTTTTATTCATCAACCAATAAGAGAAACATATATACAGAAGACGTCCCCCATCATCTGATCTCCAAAATATACAAAGAACTCAAGAAACTAGAAATCAAATTGTCCAATAATCCAGTTAAAAATGGGATACAGATCTAAATAGAGAATTCTCAACAGAACAATCTCAAATGGCAGAAAGACACTTAAGGAAATGTTCAACATCCTTAGTCATCAGGGAAATGCAAATCAAAACCACTGAGCTAAAATATTTTACCCATCAGAATGGCTAAGATCAAAAACACCAATGACAGCTTATGCTGAAGAGGATGTGGAGAAAGGGGAACACTCCTCCATTATTGGTGGGAGTGCAAACTTGTACAGCTGCTGTGGAAATCAGCACTGTGATTTCTCAGAAAATTAGGGACCAACTTACCTCAAGACCCTGCAATACCACTGTTGGGCATATACCTAAAGGAGACATATTCACACCACAAGGACATTTGCTCAACTATGTTCATAGCAACATGATTTGTAATAGCCAGAACTTGGAAACAACCTAGATGCCCCTCAACTGAAGATTGCATAAAGAAAATGTGGTATATTTACACAACGGAGTACTCCTTAGCGTAGAAGTGACATCCTAAAATTCACAGGCAAATGGACAGAACTAGAAAAAAAAAACATCCTAAGTGAGATAACCAAAACCACAAAGACAAATATAGTATGTACTCACTCATAAATGGATACCAGACATAAAGCAAAAGACCCCCAGCCTACAATCCATAACCCCAGAGAAGCTTGAATCCTCTTCCAGAAACAAATAGAAGCAGATGCAGGAATCCACAACTAACCAATGGACCAAGCTTCTGGAGTACAACTGAAGTGAGAGAGGAGTGATAATATGAACAAAGGAGTCAAGACCATAATGGGGAAACCCACAGAATCAGCTGACCCAAGCTAGTGAGAGACCAGTGACTCAGGTCTGACAAATGGGGAATCTGCGTAAGACCAAACTAGACTCCCTTAAAATAGGTGACAGTGGTGTGACTGGGACAATATACGAGGTCAATGACAGTGGGTCCAAGATCTAACAGGAATGCACAAATTGACTTCGTGGAACCCATTCTATATGGAGAGATAAAGTGGAGAATTACCAATATGGAGCCAAGTAGAAATATAAGGGTATTTAATAGGGAAAA